AGAAACAGAATGGTGGATCAATGGAATCGAACAGAAGACCCAGAAATAAACCCACACACTTATGGACACCTGATTTTTGACAAAGATGCCAAAACCATACAATGGAAAAAAGATAGCATCTTTAACAAATGGTGCTGGTCCAACTGGATGTCTACATGTAGAAAAATGAAAATAGATCCATACTTATCACCCTGCACAAAACTGAAGTCCAAGTGGATCAAAGACCTCAACATAAAACCAGACACATTAAATCGGCTAGAAAAAAAAGTTGGGAATACCCTAGAACTCATTGGTACAGGAGAAAACTTCCTAAACAGAACACCAACAGCACAGGCTCTAAGAGCAACAATCAATAAATGGGACCTCATGAAATTGAAAAGCTTCTGTAAAACAAAGGACACCGTCATCAAAACAAAGCGACTGCCTACAGATTGGGAAAGAATCATCACCAACCCTCTATCTGACAGAGGACTCATATCCAATATATATAAAGAACTAAACAAGCTGAAAAGCAACAAACCAAGTAATCCACTTAAAAAATGGGGAACAGAGCTAAACAGAGAATTATCAATAGAGGAATATCGAATGACAGAAAAGCACTTAAAGAAATACTCAACCTCATTAGCCATTAGGGAAATGCAAATCAAAACAACCCTGAGATTTCACCTTACACCCATCAGAATGGCCAAGATGAAAATCTCAAGGGACAACACATGCTGGAGAGGTTGTGGAGAAAGGGGAACCCTCCTCCACTGCTGGTGGGAATGTAAACTTGTACAACCACTCTGGAAATCAATCTGGCGCTTTCTCAGACAACTAGGAATAGCGCTTCCTCAAGATCCAGCCATACCACTCCTAGGCATATACCCAAAAGAGGCGCAAGTACACAACAAGGACATTTGTTCAACCATGTTTGTAGCAGCTTTATTTGTAATAGCCAGAAGCTGGAAACAACCAGATGCCCCTCAACTGAAGAATGGATGCAGAAACTGTGGTACATCTATACAATAGAGTATTACTCAGCAATGAAAAATAAGGAAATCATGAAATTTGCAGGTAAATGGTGGGACCTGGAAAGGATCATCCTGAGTGAGTTGACCCAGAAGCAAAAAGACACTCACGGTATATACTCACTCATATAAACATACAATATAGAATAAACCCACTAAAAGCTGTACATCTAAACAAACTAAGCAAAAGAGAGGACCCTGACTAAAATGTTCAATCCCCATCCTGAAAGGCAAAGAGGATGGACATCAGAAGAAAACGAAAATAGGAAACAACCTCGGAACCCGCTACAGAGGGCCTCTGAAAGCCAGAAGAAAACAGGAAACAACCTTGAAACCTGCCACAGAGGGCCTCTGAAAGCTTCTGCAGTATAGACTGTCAAAGCAGATGCTGAGACTGATGGCCAACTGATGGGCAGAGTGAATGGAATTTTATGTAAGAAGTGGGAAATAGTAAGAGCTGGAGGGAACGGGAACTCCACAAGCAGAGCAACAGAACAAGATAATTTGAACACAGGGAACTTCCCAGAGACTCATACTCCAACCAAGGACTATTTGTGGAGATGACCTGGAACCCCTGCACAGGTGTAGCCCATGGCAGTTCAGTGTCCAAGTGGGTTACATAGTAATAGGAAGAGGGACTGCCTCTGACATAATCTGATTGGCCTGCTCGTTGATCACTTCCCCCTGAGGGGGGAGCAGCCTTACCAGGCCACAGTAGAGGACAATGCAGCCACTTTTGATGAGAACTGATAGACTAAGATCAGAAAGAAGGAGAGGAGGACCTCCCCTATCAGTGGACTTGGGGAGTGGCATGCATGCAGAAAGGGGAGGGAGGGTGGGATCGGCAGGGGATGAGGGAAAAAAAAACAACACATGATAATCTCCCTAGATGCTGAAAAAGTGTTTAACAAAATCCAACATCCATTCATGTTTAAAGTATACAGCAAGCCTATAGCCAACATCAAACTGAACAGAGAGAAACTTAAAGCAATCCCACTGAAATCAGGGACAAGACAAGGCTGCCCACTCTCTCCATATCTCTTCAACATAGTTCTGGAAGTCCTTGCTAGAGCAATAAGACAGTTGAAGGAGATCAAGGGGATAAAAATTGGAAAGGAAGAAGTCAAATTATCACTATTTGCAGATGATATGATACATGAGTGACCCCAAAAACTCTACCAGGGAACTCCTACAGCTGATAAACACCTTCAGCAAAGTGGCCAGATACAAAATTAACTAAAAAAAATCAGTAGCCCTCCTGTATACAAAAGACAAAAAGGCTGAGAAAGAAATTAGGGAAACAACACCCTTCACAATAGCCACAAATGACATAAAGTACCTTGGAGTAACCCTAACCAAGCAAGTCAAAGACTTGTATGAAAAAAATTTCAAGTCTCTGAAGAAAGAATTAGAAGAAGATATCAGAAGATGGAAAGATCTCCCATGCTCCTGGCTTGGCAGGATTAATATAGTAAAAATGGCCATCTTACCAAAAGCAATCTACAGATTCAATGCAATTCCCATCAAATTACCAACACAATTCTTTACAGACCTGGAAAGAAAAATTCTCAACTTCATATGGAATAACAAGAAACCCAGAATTGCTAAAACAATCCTCTACAATAAAAGATCTTCTGGAGGTATCTCCATCCCTGATCTCAAGCTGTACTATAGAGCAACAGTTTTAAAAACTGTATGGTACTGGCATAGAAACAGAATGGTGGATCAATGGAATCGAACAGAAGACCCAGAAATAAACCCACACACTTACGGACACCTGATTTTTGACAAAGATGCCAAAACCATACAATGGAAAAAAGATAGCATCTTCAACAAATGGTGCTGGTCCAACTGGATGTCTACATGTAGAAAAATGAAAATAGATCCATACTTATCACCCTGCACAAAACTAAAGTCCAAGTGGATCATAGACCTCAACATAAAACCAGACACATTAAATTGGTTAGAAGAAAAAGTGGGGAATACCCTAGAACTCATTGGTACAGGAGAAAACTTCCTGAACAGATCACCAACAGCACAGGCTCTAAGAGCAACAATCAATAAATGGGACCTCATGAAATTGAAAAGCTTCTGTAAAGCAAAGGACACCGTCATCAAAACAAAGCGACTGCCTACAGGTTGGGAAAGAATCTTCACCAACCCTTTATCTGACAGAGGACTCATATCCAGTATATATAAAGAACTAAAGAAGCTGAAAAGCAGCAAACCAAGTAATCCACTTAAAAAATGGGGAACAGAGCTAAACAGAGAATTATCAATAGAGGAATATCAAATGGCAGAGAAGCACTTAAAGAAATGTTCAACCTTATTAGCCAATAAGGAAATACAAATCAAAACAACCCTGAGATTTCACCTTACACCCATCAGAATTGCCAAGATGAAAAACTCAAGGGACAACACATGCTGGAGAGGTTGTGGAGAAAGGGGAACCCTCCTCCACTGCTGGTGGGAATGTAAACTTGTACAACCACTCTGGAAAGCAATCTGGCGCTTTCTCAGACCACTAGGAATAGCGCTTCCTCAAGATCCAGCCATACCACTCCTAGGCATATATATCCAAAAGAGGCTCAAGTACACAAAAAGGACATTTGCTCAATCATGTTTGTAGCAGCTTTATTTGTAATAGCCAGAAGCTGGAAACAGCCCAGATGCCCCCCAACTAAAAAATGGATGCAGAAACTGTGGTACATCTATACAATGGAGTATTACTCTGCAAAGAAAAATAAGGAAATCATGAAATTTGCAGGTAAATGGTGGGATCTGGACAGGATCATCCTGAGTGAGCTGTCCCAGAAGCCGAAAGACACACATGGTATATACCCTCTCATATAGACATATAACATAGGATAAACCTAGTAAAATCTGTACATCTAAAGAAACTAATCAAGAGAGGAGACCCTGACTAAAACGCTCAATCCCCATCCTGAAAGGCAAAGAGGATGGACATCACAAGAAGAAGAAAACAGAAAACAACCTAGGAACCTGCCACAGAGGGCCTCTGAAAGGCTCTGCCCTGCAGACTATCAAAGCAAACGCTGAGACTTTTGGCCAACTGTTGGGCAGAGTGCATGGAATCTTATGTAAAAAGTGGGAAATAGTAAGAGCTGGAGAGGACAGCAACCCCACAAGGAAAGCAACAGAACCAGAACATTTGAACACAGGGGTCTTCCCAGAGACTCATACTCCAACCATGTACCAGGCATGGCAATAACCAGAACCCCTGCACAGATGTAGCCCATGGCAGTTTAGTGTCCAAGTGGATTACATAGTAATGGGAAGAGGGACTGCCTCTGACATAATCTGATTGGCCTGCTCTTTGATCACCTCCCCCTGAGGGGGAGCAGCCTTACCAGGCCACAGAAGATGACAATGCAGCCACTCCTGATGAGAACTGATAGACTAAGATGAGAAGGAAGGAGAGGAGGACCTCCCCTATCAGTGGACTTGGGGAGGGGCATGGGTGAAGAGGGGGGAGTGAGGGTGGAGGAGGGGCTTATGGGGGGATACAAAGTGAATAAAGTGTAATTAATAAAAAAATAAAAAAGAAAGAAATTTGCACACTTCCTGCTTTATTTCTCCAAGTGCTTAGATTACAGCAGTGTGTCACCATATTCAGCTTTGTAGTTTATTGCTTTATATACATTTACTTCTATACATTGGTAATACAAGCAAGTTTTAAATTTATGCTTATTTGCAACTTACTTTATACCTAGCCATGACATCAAGCAATATCCTATTTCAAAAACAAACTTGAAAGTGTAAACTTTAAGTTTAGCAGACAACCTTGGTAATTTGGGTATGTTTTGGTTGCTGGTAAATGAAATAAGTTTCTCAATACATCTTTGAAGGGACACGGGGCATATAAATATTCATTGGGAAAAATAATAAGCCAAGCAAATAATACCTGTAATTCTGTGTGTGAGTTTCCTAGAGTTAGTGAGCTAGAGTCTAGCAATGAAGGGTACTTACTTCTCCAAGCTCCTCATGACTCTGTTCCATGTAGGTGGTCTCCTTTAAAGGCTCAACTGGCTCAGGTTCGATGTAAGAGTCATCTTGCCGTTCTGATGTATCTGTATCACTCTCCTCACTTTTCCCCATCACCTCATTATCAGATTCATCATGCTCTTGATCATTCTCTTTGTCAGATTTATCAGAATACATATCTTGGTCCTTAAAGTGTTGTCTTTCAATTTCACTATCATTCAGCCTTAGTGGAATAATTACATGCAAGAAGAAAGGTGGCTAAGAATACAAATCCATAAACTGAAATGACATTTCCTGCACATTTACTATGTGCTCTGCACAGTTCTAAAAGTGTGTAGTTAACTTATTTAATCTTTGACGTTATCCTGTTAGGCAACATACTCCTCTCCTTTTACAGATCAATGAACAAAGGCACAGCAACTAAACAGATGCCTGAGATGGTGAAAGATGACAAAGTAAGTACTTGCCTCTGTACTCTGGGGGCTAAAATATTCTCACAACAAAATTTAAACTACTGCTTGCTATAGCTGCCTATCTACTCTTTTACAAACACTGTTACTGGAAGAAGGATCACCACCATATCTAGTTTGAAGGAAAACACTAAGTCAAGGTCATCAGGTTCTCAATGAATTATGACTTTCTACTGTAAGGAGCCCCAAAGTCACTAAAAAAATAACTGTTGAGAATAAGATGGAAAACATGCTTTGAGCTATATTTAACATTTATCCGATAGGCTTAATTTTAAGGGGAAAAATTCCAGGGAGCAACAGAAATGACAATTAAAGAAGTAAGCCCGTAGTGCCAAAGTTAAGCTTTACATGAAAAAAGGGAGGGAAGGGTAGAGTTTTTCAACAAAAGAGCAAAAAGAGGCCAGACCCTGAAAAAAAAAAAAAATCTGTACACTGCGTCACAATTTTGCCAGAGAAATATTGGGTTAGTATTAGTTACAGTGAATGCTTCAAGAGGTAAAACTGCAAACCAGAGAATGTTACCACTCCAAATGCTTCATAGGACCAGGAGAGACTCAGTGGTTAAGAGAATTGGTTGCTCTTCCAGCAGACCCAGGTTCAATTCCCAGCATCCACATCATCAACTTCTGTCCCAGGGGACCCGACAGCCTCTTCTGGCCTCTGAAAGCACTTGGGAATGTGGAGCATAGATATACAAACAGGCAAAACACCCATACACGTAAAAAAAAAAAAAAAAAAAAAAAAAAAAAACTTCCCAAATGGCAAGCAAAATCCAGTGCCATCACAAAACATACTAAGAAAAGAACAATGGAAGGGAAGATGTATCTCATTGTTACGAGGCAGGAAAGCTTCATGTGGTATATAATATTCAAACTGATCTTGAATGGGATTATGACAGAATGAGACAGTAAGAAGTAGAAATTACTCTTAGTGGAAGGTACAACAACCACAAAAACAAAATAAATACTCAGCTCACTTGTATCTGGAAAAAAAGAGTAATGTACACTGGCTAGAATAAAGAAAACAAATCCCTATACCTGATTTACATCAAATAAACTAAGTTTAAGGGCCTTAAGCCATGTGATCATAACACAAAATTTCAATATGATATATATTACTGAGGTAGCAGAAATGACCAAGTTAATGAGCGGGATCGTCTCCTGTAGCAAAGCAGCAGCAGCAGCTACTTACTGGAAGTTGTCACCGCTGTGGAGATTGTTAGCACGCAGCAGACCATACAGAGTCACATGTGTGTTATCCGACGAAATGCTCAGATCGTGCTCCTTCCCTTCCCTGATCATTGTACGTTTGAGAAGACTAGAACATTTCAAAGCCAACTCCAAGGCATCCATCCAGCACCTTCCTAGAAGAACACAGATTTACAAGCAGGAAAACTAGTAAAACCAATATTCACTTAATTTAACCCTCTTACCTTTAAACATACTACTTCCTTGACAAAGAAGCACTGGAAACTGATTTACATGTAAAAGTTTGCCAGGATTTTAATGCAATCTTTTGTTTTTTATAAATGCTTTTTAAACAATATACTTAAAAATCACAATAAATAGACAGCATGTATTATGCAAGCAAATCCCATCAACAATAAACACACTTTATCTCCCAAACTTTAAAACATTAACATACACTTTTAAAGTATCAAACAAGGTACATAAAATACACTGAAGAGAGTATGTTTCTACTATAAGCTAACTGAAATAATGTTTTATTGTTGACAACAAGTGTGTCCCCAAGTTTAGCATCCATTCTGCTTACACGTATGAGAATATTTTGTTAGTTTGCACTATTTAATCACAGGCCTTGCTGTGGTGACATTCCATGTACACTCGCTATAGATGGAGATCATATTCTCCCCAGTCCTCTTAATGATTCCTCCGTTCCCTTCCTTTACCCAACATTTGCTTCTCTCTCACACTGTCTCTGTTGTTTTGTTTAGATTTCACATATAAAAGGAAACATGCAATACTTGTTCTTCTGAGCCATGTTCAGTTTGCTTAACACAAGAATTTTAAACCAAGGAAATACCTACAGAATGCTATCACTAGCTGCCATGACTGTCAACATTAATAACTTTCTTTTATAGTTTAGTACTGTTATTAGTGAAATTAGGAAAAATGTTCACATATCTAAGTACTGTTAAAATCATACATACTTGTTTCAAGATCTGGCAGAAAATTAAACCATATAAAACACTTTCATACTGACATCTGTTTAAGCAGCAATTCTCTAGTATTAGAAGAGTCAGCACTGGAAGGTTCTAAGAGTCTCTGCATTAAGCTGATCTATACTATAAAGTGTTATACTAAAGAACAAATCCATTATCATCAATCACAAAGCTTTTAGGTTACGTTGTATATGTGGAGTGTATGTGTATGATTAAGTTGTTTGTGTTTTGCTTTTGTATGTAAAATAAAACCAAACTAATGTTATGTTATGTGTTCCAAATATTAACTTAAAGTATGACAGCTTATACTTGAATCTCTTTGTTTTAAAGATTTACTTATTTATTATATGTTCTGCCTGGATGTTTGTCTGCCCTCCAGAAGAAGGCACCAGATCTCATTATAGAAGATTATGAGCCATCATGTGGTTGCTGGGGAAACTGAACTCAGGACCTCTGGAAGAGCATCCACTGCTCTTAACCTCTGAGCCACCTCTCCAGCCCCTAATATCTCTTTTAAAATGATATTTAATGAAACACTATTAAGTCCCGAAAGCATTAATATGTCAGTGGAGAATGAGAGAAAACCTAAGCTGCTAACACTTCCCAGTTACACATTCCTTCCTATCAGAGTTCTTACCTGCAAAGCTATTAATGTATTTAGTGTCCTACATAGTTTATGATTACAGGATTTTGATTCAACTGGGCTATGAACACATGATTTCCTCCAATGTTAACACAAAGTAATACTTTAAATAACCCCTTAAACGAGAACCAATTCATCAAAAAGTGTTTACCATCTGACTCTGAAGTAGCACGGATAATCAAGTAACTGCTGGGTAAAGGCTGAGTAATGGATCCAACCGCTTCGCCCTTTGGACCCTTAATAGAAAATAGGTGTAAGTACTGTGTTAGACCAACAATACAGTAGCCATTATTATTCGTATCAGATACAGGTTCTATTAGGCACAAATTATAATTTACAAGCAAACAAGCTTTAATTACATCCTTAAGAATGCCAATGTTTAGTATTAATGTCTTCTTTCCCAACTAATATACCTCCTTATTAAGAAATTGAACAAATGACAAATTTATCACTTAAACGTTATCTGTATATATTGTTCATATTTTTAAAAACATAATATTTAACATACTGACACAATTTTAACAGAATTTCTATCTTATAGGTTAGGTTTTACTACAGGAGAAATACTGTATTTCTAGAGGTTTGGGAAAAGTCACTAGAAATACAGTTATAATTCACTAGATAAAAGGAAATGAATTTTGACTGTGTCTAGGGAAAAATAAACACTTTATAATCAATTACTATTTGTTTTAAATACCGAGCTCAAAAACTTTCACTTTTTTCAAATCAATAAATTAAAATTGCTTCATAACTGTGGTTATTTGAAAACAAACACACACACACACACACACACACACACACACACACACACCAATAAGTAATTAGTATCACCAAGGCTCAATTCAGGTGCAAGGCAACCCCTAGAATGAGGGTACACAAGGACCTAGAATCGGACTACCTAGATTTTATTCTTGACACTTACTAGGAGAACCTCTAAAGTGAGTACTTTAGGATTCAATCTTTATCTACATAAGGAGAAATCTGCATTCTTCTTATAAATATAAGATTGAAACAAAGTATTCCATTCAAAATACCTCATCTATGGGTTAAGCTCTTTGTTCTGTCCATACATGATGCTCATATATTAGAAAATCTAAAATTTACCATATGATATAATTTTAATGTTAACAAGAATCTTTATCCTATAGGTATCACTAGGTGAGAAATACTATGCTTCTAGAAGTCTAAATTAGGTACCTGGACATTTAGTTATAATTCACTAATAAATAAATGAGCTCTAAAACAAATAATTCATTAATCCTAAATTCAGTCCTCGATGAATCTAGACTACTCTGATAAAAAGCCCAAATCTTTTCCTAGGTACATCAATATTGCTTGGTATATAGTTAGTCCTTTATTCAAGGTGATAATCACCCTAGAAACTAAAGCAATAATCTCACTTTTGGTGATTTGGTTAATGTAAACTACAGTGTCTACGGTTTGTAGAATTCCTTAATCATTAATAAGAGAAAACATTTCTGTTTTTCTGCTTATTTCTGCTTTTACAGCACATAGAGATCATAGTAACACTTTCAGTTATAAAAACATTAGTGCTCTATTTTTAGAGAAAACTGTCTCTCCTAAGAGCAAGCAGGATAGCTTTTGCTCCTAGACATCCCTCCACACATCCCCATTACTACAGGAAAGACCACAAAAGTGCCAGTCTCTGCTTTAGGCAACCACTCTGATAAAGAACAAAGAATCAGTCAACATTACACAAAGTCACAAGGAAGAATGATGAACCACAATTCATAAAAAATGTAATCTTCAATGACAAAAGAGAAAATAAGATGCAATATAAATGTTTTCAAGAAAATTTATTTATGTCTTAAAAACAAAAGAAAGGCTGTTTTGGTACACATTTGATTATAGAGACAGAAGGATAAATACAGCTATGGAAGACAGAGACAATATTGTGAGTCCTGGCCAAGGACAGTAGCATTTGATTGACTTACCTTACTTCTCCTCACTGTTACCTTTACCTTTTACCTCAAAATGGGCTCACATACCTTCACTGCCCAAATAGACTGCTCCAACGGATGGAAAAGCTTGAAACAAAAGCCATCCTTTTTTGATGGACGTTCAATGATCTCACAAGCATTCAGAAGGACTGTTCCAACCCACTGACCATTTTTTTGTGTTTTATAGATCAGAAGCACCCCAGGTTTCAGCACACACCACAGCTTGGTCCAGCTCTTTAGAGTGCCACGAATCTACAGAAAGATAAGTTTATTTTAAAGACTGATATCTATTTCCCTTTTGAGGCTACAGAATAATAAATTGAATAATGACTACTGAAATGTTTTAATCTAAAGTTATAATGCATATACATTTATACTGAATAGGTCTTTAGTTAAAAGGCTACTTCATGGCATGCACTGCAGAGTCAACATGGTTCCTGATTCTAAGAAACTTGGGTTTTTGTGAAATAGTAGGCCAAAACTGCAAATCGATTAATTAGAATCCCTAACCACCTTGATCACTGCAAGGTCATTAAAACAAACCTCCATAGTACTGAAATTATTCTCTCTGTAACAGTTGTTACAACTGTAATTTTTGTGAATAAATTATTACTTTTTTCTAACTTTGCTTTTTTGAATGTTTTTGGCATACCCAAGATTTTTCCTAACTACTTAGTAAATGGTAGGAAAAAGAAGGAACCTCTATCTAGTCCCTAGATAACTGCCCTCCTTAGATAACTGCCTCGAAGGTGTGCTGTGTAAGTAAACAGGAGGAAGCCTTCAAGTGTAATCACATCACTTACTTCTCATCTTAAGCTCTCATGCTGCCAATACCTTTTATCAGTTTTTTTCTATCACTTTCTATGCCTGTACTCTATTAAAAAGTTATTGCTAGGCAATTCACTGGATTCACAATGCTGAAGAAGATGCCAGGATGGTATTCAGGTTAAAGTAGGAGCTTTCTTCACATTATTAATTACATGTACAGGAATTGTGAATGTACATGAATACAGGATAAATGAATATAGAAATCTTTAAGGAGCAGAGTGGGCAGAAGCATAGTAATCTAAGATATAGAAAGTTAGCAAGGGAGACTTTGAAACCAGAAATAAAAAGAGAAAAACAGTCAAAAAAAGGTGTTTGTGTACAACTCTCTATATAAACAAGATGGTGAGTCAAGAAAAATCAAAGGAAAGATAGTTATGCTCACTTAATAGCCTTTTATTTATTTATTTATTTATTTATTTATTTATTTATTTATTTATTTATTTATAGATTTATTTTCTGTGTATATCTATCTAAGATATCTATCTAAGATAGGGTGTTCTATCTTCATGTACACCTGCAGGCCAGAAGAGGGCACCAAATCACATTACAGATGGTTGTGAGCCACCATGTGGTTGATGGGAATTGAACTCAGGACCTCTGGAAGAGCAGACAGTGCTCTTAACCACTGAGTCATCTCTCCACCTCCTGATATAATATTCTTGATTTTGGAGATATAACAAGAAAAGATGGTCAACTGGCAGAAATGAAGGTAAGGTTTAAAAGGCCAGCCAGAGCCAGGTGTGGGGGTATACACCTATGTAACTCCAGTATCTGAGATGCTGCGGGCAGAGGACTGCAATTGCAAAGGCCAGCCAGGGACTACACACCTTGTTTCAAAATAACAGTGGGTGGGAGAGGGGAGGTGCAATCCATCCATCTTGAGGATGTCTAGGGACTAGTAGAGAATAACTTTGACTTTGGGAAAGACAAGTAGGGACCAGAGCTAATATGTTCTTAAGAAGAGATACAATAGGCTGGAGTTTATTTTCAGCACAAAACTGAAGGAAATCTTTGCAGTATTTGGACTGTGTGCAACCATGACAAACACACTGTAATGTGTGTGTGTGTTTTTTGTTTTGTTTTGTTTTTACTGTCTCTATGAATCATTCTGTAGCAGTTTTGCTAACTCAAATTTACTTTCAAAGTTAGAAGTAAAATTTCTACAGCTATCCCTCAGGTAAGTATAGAAAAGAGGACAAGAGGTCTTGGGTGAGTAAGAGGAAACAGAATAGCGATGTGTACTTGTGCACATTGCACAGTGCCTTTCAGATGCAACTTTTATATCAACTTGTTCTCATTTTGTCTTAATACAAATTCCAACCTGCAGTAACACCAAGTTATAAGTGGAATAATGAGTATTTTATACTGGGTTATACTAGACAACATGGTATCAAAATGGACAGAACTGCTGTTCACGTGAGGCTACTGGAGTCCTTTCTCCTTGTGTTTGCCTCCTGAAAATCCATCTTTTGTTTTCCTCGTCCCCATGAGTAAATGTTCCGCAAGAGTTCAAACCCAAGCCCTGACCTTTAGCCAGTCAGCCATGACGATGACAGAGGGGTCAGTGATGGTACTCAGCAACTCCTTGGTGGCTCTCTTCTTCTCCTCACGGTAATTTTTCTTTTGGACCTAATGTAACATGAATAGAAACAAAACATTCAGCAGAAGAAACAATTTCTTCCAATTCCAACATTTTAAGGTAAAAAAAAAAAACAGACCTGAGGGGCGGGGCAAGATGGCGGCGGTGGGAGGAATCTCATTCTGAGGAGCAGCACAGCAGGATTAGCACAGTGACCAGCAATCAGAACTCGCGGCCATAAAACACAAGTGATTGTGTTTCACAGGTGAGAGGATACCTCACGGTGGGGGATTCAATCAGCTTTAACTCACCCGGCTAAACCGCGGAAGAGATCCAGGTTCTACCAGGCGCTTGGTCGCCAGCCCAGAGCTACACGCTAGCGCGATCTGGTCACGGTCCCAGACTGAACTGTGGGCCCACAACACCATAGACTGGATTTCCCAGTCGAGAGATAACCCCACGGAGCAGGAAACAATTGGGACCGACCTTAGCTCACCCAGACATCCCCTGGAAAAGACTCGGGTTCCGCGGGTGCCCCAAGAGCCAGCCCGGACCCAGAGCTGGGACCCAGGCGCCTGCACGGAGCCCTGCCTTCGCGCCTGATTCACCGCCTCAGATAGAACTGTGGGCACCAGGGCACCAGGCACCAGAGACTGCGTTTCACTGGCAGGTGCAAACCCACAGGGAGGGAAACGGCTCTGATCTCAGAGCACTCAGCCGACACCCCCACCCCGAAACAGTTTAGGGAAAATTAGCCAGTCTAGGGAGCCGCCAAGGCTCCGAACGGCCAGAAAGGCGGAGCCACAAGCGGGCATCTGTGCCTGTGGGTTCTACTCGCCACCCCAGACAGAACAGTGGTCCCCAAAGCAAAGACTGCGTGTCTCTGGCAGGAGGAAACCCCCAGCGGAGGGGGTCATCAGCTCTAACGCTTAGGACACCCAGCACCAAAACACTTCCTGGACTCACGCAGACACTAGTGCAGGCAGGAGCGCTGTGCTCAGCCGCCATTGTTGAGTTCCCCTAGGGCACTGGGGCACACAGCTGCATCCTCAGACCTACAAAAGCCAGAGAGCCATTACAGCAGCCCTCAGATACTGTGCCAAGGATCAACCAGTTATCCCTAGCTAGACTGTCAAAACTGTGGGAATCCCTGGTCCTTCAAGAGGGCTGCACCCACAGCGTCTGGACCAGAGCAATGCCTGCAGCCGCCATCCCAGACAGGGACACACAGCTTCTGGTCCAGATTGAGGCACCCAGCCTCCAGACCAGAGCAGTGCCCTCAGGCGCCAACTCAACCTAGGTGCACTTTCTCCAGGTCCAGAGCGGAGCAATCAGCCTCTGGCCCAGAGACTTGCTGAGTGCACCTCTCACTTTCCCGGACAGAACTGTGCGCCCCAGGATAACAGACTGAGTTTCCCTGTTGGGAGAAAACCCCACAGCTAGGGAATCAGCAGGTTCTCCAAGAGGACTGTACCTGGAAATTTAGTGAGCAGCAGCACACTAAATAACAAGAAACCTAGCAGTGGGGCAGCTGTCTTGAGAAATTCTATGGGTAAGAGGAGATTCCCCCCCCCCCCAACATAGACCACAGCTACTACTCAGGGCTATAAACCTGAGGTGAGCAGTGGCAACTCCTGAGAAACACTGGCCATACAGTGAGCATAATCAAAAAGCAGAGAAGGACTGCTTCTCTGTAAAAATCATCTTCCGGCCAAGGGGATTCTCCCTACCTCAGGACTCCAGGAAGCACAGAAACTAACAGCCAACGCCTAAATCAGCCCAATGGGTAGAGGTCAGTGTAAAAGCTCAACCAACAAAAGACAGAGCAATATGGCATCTCCAGAACCCAGCCATCCAGGGGTGAACAGCCCTAGACAATGCAGCATAATAGAAAATCAAGAAGATGACCTTACATCTATGTTGATGACGAGGATAATAGAGGAAACAAATAAAATACGTAAAGAACTAGAGGAAGATAAAACCAAACAGACCATGGCTATCCGTAAAGAAATGGAGGAAGATAAAGACAAGCAGATTAGGGCCATCTGTGAAGAAATACGGGAAGATGCAGCCAAACAGCCTGTGGCCTTCAGAGAAGAAATGATTAAATCACTGAAAGAAATAAAAGAGACAGAGTTGAAGGAACTAAAAGAAAAAGAGGAAAATACAATCAGACAGGTGAAGGAAGTAAACAAAACAACTGAAGATCTGAAGATAGAACTAGAAAAATTAAAGAAAACACAAATGGAGGAAATAATGGAGAGGAAGAATTTAGGGAAGAAAACAGGAACTACAGAGGTAAGCATAACCAACAGACTACAAGAAATGGAAGAAAGAATCTCAGGTGTAGAAGATACAATGGAAGAAATCGATGTATCTGTCAAAGAAAATGTTAAATCCAAAAAATTCCTGACACAGACCGTCCAAGAAATCCAAGACAATGTGAAAAGACAAAACCTAAGAATAATAGGAATAGAGGAAAAAGAAGACTCCCTTCTCCAAGGCCCAGAAAATATTTTCAACAAAATCATTGAAGAAAATTTCCCCAAGTTAAAGGAGAAGCCAATAAGGATACATGAGGCCTACAGAACACCCAACAAATTTGACCAGAAAAGAAAATCCTCCCGCCACATAATAATCAAAACAGTAAGTATACAGAACAAAGAAAAAATACTAAAAGCTGCAAGGGAAAAAGGCCAAGTAACATATGATGGCAAACCCATTAGAATCACACCTGACTTTTCAACAGAAACTATGAAAGCCAGAAGGGCCTGGACAGATATCATGCAGACCCTAAGAGAACACAGATGTCAACCCAGGCTACTATACCCTGCAAAACTCTCAGTCCTCATAGACGGAGAAAACAAGATATTCAATGACAAAAACAAATTTCAAAAATACCTACACACAAATCCAGCATTACAGAAGACACTGGAAGGGAAAATACAACCCAAGAAAACTAGCTTCTGTCAAGAAAACACAGGAAATAATTAACCTTACTACAGCAAAACAAAAAGCAACCAAGCACACAACCTTATGAACACAGCCAACATCAAAATCAAAGGATCTAATAGCCACTGGTCATTAATCTCTCTCAACATCAATGGACTCAACTCTCCAGTAAAAAGACACAGATTAACAGAATGGATTTGTAAACAAAACCCAGCAATCTGTTGCATACAAGAAACACACCTAAGGCACAAAGATAGACATCACCTGAGGGTAAAAGGTTGGAAGACGACTTTCCAAGCAAATGGACCCAAGAAACAAGCAGGAGTAGCCATTCTAATATCTGATAAAAGAGACTTTCAACCAAAATTAATAAAAAGAGATGGGGAAGGACACTTCATACTCATCAAGGGAAAATTCCACCAGGAAGACATCACAATTCTGAACATCTATGCCCCAAATACAAGGGAACCCACATTTGTAAAAGAAACATTGATAAAATTTAAACCACATATAGATCCCCACACATTAATAGTGGGAGACTTCAACACCCCACTCTCAACAAAGGACAGGTCAACAAAACAGAAACTAAACAAAGAAACAATATCTCTGACAGAGGTCATGAATCAAATGGACCTCACAGACATTTACAGAACTTTACACCCAAACACAAAAGAATTTACCTTCTTCTCAGCACCTCATGGAACCTTCTCCAAAATAGACCATATAGTTGGTCACAAAGCAAGCCTCAACAGATACAAGAAGACTGAAATAATCCCTTGTATCCTGTCTGATCACCATGGAATAAAGCTGGACTTCAACAACAACAGAAATAGCAAAAAGCCCACACACACATGGAAACTGAACAACTTGTTACTAAATGACAGCTGGGTCAGGGAAGAAATAAAGAAAGAAATTAAAGCCTTTCTAGAACTCAATGAAAATGAAGACACAACATACCCAAACTTGTGGGACACAATGCAAGCAGTGCTAAGAGGAAAGTTCATAGCACTAAGTGCCTACAAGAAGAAATTCGAGACAGCTCATTCAAGCAACTTAATGGCCCACTTAAAAACCCTATTAAAAGAAGCAGCAGACACACCAAAAAGGAGTAGATGGCTGGAAATAATCAAACTCAGGGCTGAAATCAATCAATTAGAAACAAATAAAACAATTCAAAGAATCAATGAAACCAAGAGCTGGCTCTTTGAGAAAATCAACAAGATTGACAAACCCTTAGCCAAGCTAACTAAAAGGCAGAGAGACACCACCCAAATCAACAAAATCAGAAATGAAAAGGGGGACATAACTACAGACACTGAGGAAATCCAAACAATCATTAGGACTTACTTCAAAAGTCTATACTCAACAAAATTTGAAAATCTAAATGAAATGGACAATTTTCTTGATCGATTTGACTTACCAAAGCTGAATCAGGACCAGGTAAAGCAATTAAATAGTTTTATATCCTCCAAAGAAATAGAAGCAGTCATCAATAGTCTCCCATCCAAAAAAAGCCCAGGACCAGATGGCTTCAGCGCAGAATGCTACCAGACCTTCAAAGAAGAGCTAACTCTAGTTCTCTTCAAACTATTCCACAAAATAGAAACAGAAGGAGCATTACCAAACTCATTCTATGAAGCCACAGTCACCTTGGTACCTAAACCTCACAAAGACTCAACAAAGAAAGAGAATTTCAGGCCAATCTCCTTTATGAACATTGATGCAAAAATACTTAACAAAATACTTGCAAACCGAATCCAAGAACACATCAAAGATATTATCCACTATGACCAAGTAGGCTTCATCCCAGGTATGCAGGGGTGGTTCAATATACAGAAATCTATCAATGTGATCCACCATATTAACAAAATGAAAGAAAAAAAAAAACACATGATAATCTCCTAGATGCTGAAAAAGCATTTGACAAAATCCAACATCCATTCATGTTTAAAGTACTGGAGAGATCAGGGATACAAGGCACATATCTAAACATAGTAAAGGCGATATACAGCAAGCCTATAGCCAACATCAAACTGAATGAAGAGAAACTTAAAGCAATCCCACTGAAATCAGGGACAAGACAAGGCTGCCCACTCTCTCCATATCTCTTCAACATAGTTCTGGAAGTCCTTGCTAGAGCAATAAGACAGTTGAAGGAGATCAAGGGGATACAGATGGGAAAGGAAGAAATCAAATTATCACTATTTGCAGATGATATGATACATGAGTGACCCCAAAAACACTCAAAAACACTGTAGGAGTACCAGGGAACTCCTACAGCTGATAAACACCTTCAGCAAAGTGGCCAGATACAAAATTAACTCAAAAAAATCAGTAGCACTCCTGTATACAAAAGACAAAAGGGCTGAGAAAGAAATTAGGGAAACACCACCCTTCACAATAGCCACAAATGACATAAAGTACCTTGGAGTAACCCTAACCAAGCAAGTCAAAGACTTGTATGAAAAAAATTTCAAGTCTCTGAAGAAAGAATTAGAAGAAGATATCAGAAGATAGAAAGATCTCCCATGCTCATGGCTTGGCAGGATTAACATAGTAAAAATGGCCATCTTACCAAAAGCAATCTACAGATTAAATGCAATTCCCATCAAATTGCCAACACAATTCTTTACAGACCTGGAAAGAAAAATTCTCAACTTCATATGGAATAACAAGAAACCGAGAATTGCTAAAACAATCCTCTACAATAAAAGATCTTCTGGAGGTATCTCCATCCCTGATCTCAACCTGTACTATAGAGCAACAGTTATAAAAACTGCATGGTACTGGCATAGAAACAGAATGGTGGATCAATGGAATCGAACAGAAGACCCAGAAATAAACCCACACACTTACGGACACCTGATTTTTGACAAAGATGCCAAAACCATACAATGGAAAAAAGATAGCATCTTCAACAAATGGTGCTGGTCCAACTGGATGTCTACATTAGAAAAATGCAAATAGATCCATACTTATTATCACCCTGCACAAAACTAAAGTCCAAGTGGATCAAAGACCTCAACATAAAACCAGACACATTAAATCGGCTAGAAAAAAAAGTTGGGAATACCCTAGAACTCATTGGTACAGGAGAAAACTTCCTGAACAGATCACCAACAGCACAGGCTCTAAGAGCAACAATCAATAAATGGGACCTCATGAAATTGAAAAGCTTCTGTAAAGCAAAGGACACCGTCATCAAAACAAAGCGACTGCCTACAGATTGGGAAAGAATCATCACCAACCCTCTATCTGACAGAGGACTCATATCCAATATATATAAAGAACTAAACAACCTGAAAAGCAATAAACCAAGTAATCCACTTAAAAAATGGGGAAGAGAGCTAAAGAGAGAATTCTCTGTAGAGAAATATCGAATGGCAGAGAAGCACTTAAAAGAAATGCTCAACCTCATTAGCCATCAGGGAAATGCAAATCAAAACAACCCTGAGATTTCACCTTACACCCATCAGAATGGCCAAGATAAAAAACTCAAGGGACTACACATGCTGGAGAGGTTGTGGAGAAAGGGGAACCCTCCTCCACTGCTGGTGGGAATGTAAACTTGTACAACCACTCTGGAAAGCAATCTGGCGCTTTCTCAGACCACTAGGAATAGCGTTTCCTCAAGATCCAGCCATACCACTCCTAGGCATATACCCAAAAGAAGCACAAGTACACAAAAAGGACATTTGCTCAACCATGCTTGTAGCAGCTTTATTTGTAATAGCCAGAAGCTGGAAACAACCAGATGCCCCTCAACTGAAGAATGGATGCAGAAACTGTGGCACATCTATACAATGGAGTATTACTCAGCAATGAAAAATAAGGAAATCATAAAATTTGCAGGTAAATGGTGGGACCTGGAAAGGATTATCCTGAGTGAGTTGTCCCAGAAGCAAAAAGACACGCATGGTATATACTCACTCATATAAACATACAACATAGAATAAACCCACTAAAATCTGTACATCTAAACAAACTAAGCAAAAGAGAGGACCCTAACTAAAATGTTCAATCCCCATCCTGAAAGGCAAAGAGGATGGACATCAGAAGAAAAAGAAAATAGGAACCTGCCACAGAGGGCCTCTGAAAGCCAGAAGAAAACAGGAAACAACCTTGAAACCTGCCACAGAGGGCCTCTGAAAGCTTCTGCAGTATAGACTGTCAAAGCAGATGCTGAGACTGATGGCCAACTGATGGGCAGAGTGAATGGAATTTTATGTAAGAAGTGGGAAATAGTAAGAGCTGGAGGGGACGGGACCTCCACAAGGAGAGCAACAGAACAAGATAATTTGAACACAGGGAACTTCCCAGAGACTCATACTCCAACCAAGGACTATTCGTGGAGATGACCTGGAACCCCTGCACAGGTGTAGCACATGGCAGTTCAGTGTCCAAGTGGGTTACATAGCAATGGGAAGAGGGACTGCCTCTGACATAATCCTATTGGCCTGCTCGTTGATTACCTCCCCCTGAGAAGGGAGCAGCCTTACCAGGCCACAGTAGAGGACAATGCAGCCACTTTTGATGAGAACTGATAGACTAAGATCAGAAAGGAGAGGAGAACCTCCCCTATCAGTGGACTTGGGGAGTGGCATGCATGCAGAAAGGGGAGGGAGGGTGGGATCAGGAGGGGAGGAGGGAGGGGCTTATGGGGGGGATACAAAATGAATAAAGTGTAATTGATAAAAAATTAAAAAAAAAACAAACCAGACCTGAGATTTTGACAACCCAGGTTAGAATCTGGTTTCTATGATCACTGCTCCAAGTCTTCTGTATCCTTTCCATTCCCTCCTAACCTTTCAGATGCACACAATCTATAGAAATGCATAGCTTCGTCTATAACCCCTGTTCCATAGGATCTGACACCCTCACACAGACATACATACAGCTAAAACACCAATGTACATTAAAATAAATAATTTTTAAGTGTAAATAAATGGAGATCTGAGAGTCAAATTTTGAGAACTTACTAATTTTGTCAGTGTTATTTTCTAAAACTAGTTTATTCAAAAGTAATTCCCTGTTTAGAAACTAAGAAAAATATTTGTAATCAATCTAAATAATGCATCAAATTATTACATGTTCAGGGTGTACCACTAAAGAAATGTTTCTTGTTATAAATTATTTTGAGTTTTTTGGACAATTATAAAGATTTCATGGCTTTTTAGAAATTTTCATAAAAACCACGCTCAAAATAATAGTTTCACAAAGTTTAAATTATAAATAAATAATGTATTTTCCAAAAAAAAAAAAAAAAAGAAAAGAAAAGAAATTCATAGCTTCTGTGTTTTTAACACATGTGGTCTCCCATTTGATTTTTTTTTTTTTTTTAGAGTTTTTATATCTAGTTTATTCTTTTACCTGTGCCACAGGATTCCTGCCCTAAATAAAATATTGACGGTGTCAGCACTGAGTGCATTAGAATTGTTACTATTCTAAACTCTTTTCTATAATATTACTTCATTTAGCCACCATAATAAGCTTTTCAAGTAGAATGATTATTAGCCTCGTTTTACATTCAAGAACACTGAGGCGGAGAAAGTAATGCAGCCCAAATCACACAGCTAGCAAGGTGTGAAGCAAGGTTCCAAACAGAAGTTTTCTGGCTCCCCAGGCTTGCTCTAAAGCACCAGGCTATTTTCCCAATGCATACTCTGGCTGGTAGACATCTTCTTAACTACCAGCTTTTGTTTATGACAAACAATGCTGCCAATGCTCCCAGATGGAAGGTGTGCCCTTTTTCTTATTAGCATCTAAGACAGAAATAATTAAGAAACTATGAGATCAATTTGTTCAAAATACTAAACATTTTACTTTCATATATGAATTATTTCTTTGAAATAACCCAAGAAAGCAAAAGTGAACTTATAGTTTTATTGTTCTTTGTTATTTGGATGGGTAAAGAATAATATCCTGTTAGTGTCTACATTTTTCCTTGAATGATAAAACAAAATCACCATTAAATTTAACTGAGATTATATATGCATTACAAAACTTAACAGTTATATGCCTCCAATGCCTTAGACTTATTGTCATTTTCTTTGCAAGGGGGGGGGGAGTATTTACTTTTATTTTGTATATGTCTGTGCATCGCATGCACAGAAGGTCCGGGGAAGCAAGAGAGGCTATCGGATCTGGAACTGGAGGGTTGCTAGCTGCCATGTGAGTACTGGCTACTGAACTCAGGTCCTTTGGAGGAACAGCCAGTGCTGACCTCATGATACCATAAAAATATGAACAGTTTGCATGTGTGCTTGCCTTCCCATCCCTCTGGAGTTTTCCCCCTTCCTTCAGGAGGATACATATAAACTTTTCATATTATCCCATTTTCAAAAGCGTAAGCAAGGTATAAGTGGGAGGATCACAGACTTCGCTATGAGATAGTGTCTCCTAGTAACAGAAGCTATAGCTGTAAAATCCCACCAACATGACCGCCCAAATGAGAGCTGAACTAGGACAACACCAACGGGCATGCCAAAGTAGACAGTGAAAACCCCTACAAGGTTCAACCCCACACTAAGAACTATAGGCAACTGAGGAAATCTGAGACCAGGAAAAGCCGACTTCCTCAGGGAAGAAAACACCAATTCAGCGCAATGGCCAGCCTTGAAAACATACATGCAAGTAACATTATATGGAATGAATAAGTTATATTTAGAAATACACACACACACACACACACACACAATTACATACGCATGCAATAACAATTAACAAAAGAAGCCATGAATTTTAAGGAGAGTAGGGAGGGGTACATGGGAGGGCTTAAATGGAGGGAAAGGGAAGGGAGAAATGAAACTATAATATAAAAAAAGCTTAAATAACTATAGAAACTAACCTTAAGAGACTCTTTCTTAGTGAGCTTACTTGAAGTTGAACTGTCCTTTTCTGAGCCATTATAAAGTTTAGATTCAGACTGAGATGAAAATGAAATAAAGAGAAGATAATTAAAACATACACTTATTTTACATACCACAAAAACATTATCTTCCTTACACTCTTCCCATCTTCTGTGATTTAAGCAAACGCAGATTTTCATTGCAAAGTTCTCCACACATGGTATTTGTTTTCACATGCACGAATGCACACTCAAACATTAATCTGCAATGTGAAGTTAATATTTCTAACATTTCTAAGAAAATATACAACTGTCCAGTTATTCTTAGTATAAAAATTGGCAAAGCAGTGTTAAAACGGCTGTTGAAAAAAAATGCTAAACTAAAGAGGAAACCACCTAAGTTTCATCAAATTGACACATACACTACCTCAACTCCTCCAATCTTCAAAACCTAAGAGGAGGCCACTTTAATTGTGCAATTCAACACAATACTCCCAGGATCTATTTCTTCCCACTTTTCCAGTGTGTTTAAATTGAGATTAATGACAAAATTTGTAGGTTTTGAGTTTATAGTTAACAGTTCTTTAGTCTTCATAAAACCTTAAAAATTGAACAGCACATGTTTCTATATTTATTTTATGTAATCAAAAAGAGGGATTCATAGAAACTCAGTCACAATCATCAACACAGCAGCAACCAAAACCCAGCTCTCTCAATGCAATACCCACAGTCTTTCAGTAGTGTACGAGAGTGTATGTACATTTGAGAGCCACCTCTATAAACCTTAGAACAATATAATATACTTTCTCAGTGTCCCACAGTTTTTCATTTTTTCCATTGTCAGATATAGGAAAGCATACTAACATTCTTAGTAATACTGCAGTGATCAAGAGTTACATGGGACTTGGTCCAAATGGTGGCTTCCAAATATTAAACAACCAGACCAATATAATATCACTAGATAAAACCAAGGATTAAAACATTTGAATACAAACTCCTTTGCTCAATTTTAGCACCCATGGTGACAGCAACATATTTATTCACTGATGATAGATAGCCAGTGTACCAGCTAAAGAAAAGGAATAAGCTAAACATTTTTAAGCCAACTAATGGAAGGAAAATGTCATTTAAGCTTATTCATCTTTTTTCTGCTAAAAAATACCCTTGGTGGTTGGTACAAAATACCTTTATATAAATGGGGCACAAATGAGGTTATGATGATGGTAGTACTTGACAAAGACTTTTCAATGCAGAAAACAGAGATTAACATGGTTAAACTTTTAATTTGCTGACCTAACTTGGATTGAATACCACTATTACTTGTTGTCATAATGATGCCATACACTGTGATACTGAAACAAGTGTACATAATTCCTCCAGCTATGTACATTTATCTGTGGACATAGGCACCAAAAGATGAGGCAGCCACTGTCAGAGGAATACAATGCCTTAAAACTGTTACAGAGCTCTTCTTACAAATAGGAAGAATGCACTTTAGATAATGGTATCTAATGAATAATACTCATATTAATTAGCTTGGATGTTGATGAAAGTAATGGTTGCTAACTATTTACAAAGTACTATGTTAAGCAATGTGTATGTACCACTTCAACTTATGCTTAAAGAAACCATGAGATATCAGCAGTATCCCCCTTTACTAATAAGAAAACCATACCTACAGATTAAATGTCTTTCCCCAAATCATACAGACACCAAATAGATAAATGGCCTATTTAATTCTGAGCTTCATGTTTTTAAAAATCTCATTATTTAAGAGCTTTTTAAAAGCTCTTCATACAATTGAGCAATCAGAATCAAATGTAAAAGTTTTCTTTATAAATAAGAGAAAATGTGTTCCCAACAACTCCATGACAAGATTTGGTTTACTTATTATAAGATTCCACTGTCATATGTGTTAGTATTTATATAAAAATGCCATGCACACAACCAATCTTAAATCCAATGAGGTTTATTGGATGGAAAGAGAGAGAAGGAGAAAGTGCCACATGATAGGGAAATGGAAAGGGGCACCCCCACAGAGAAAGGGGAAAGCAGAAGAGCAAGAGAGCAACAAAGTGGCAAGTTGGTCCTTTTATGGAACAATTGAACCACACTTGCCAGGAGAGACCACCTGGCTGGTGACACATGATGACATCATGGGTTGCTAGGCAACCGAGAAGTAGGCTGCCTGAATATTAACAATATGAATAAGCAGGCCAGAAGCATGCCATGTGAAACTGGTAAGTCAGGACACAGATAACTTTAGTAGGCTCTGACAATACTGCGTGGTCTATCTATGACAAAATACTGAGTCAGTACCCAAGTTTTATTACTCAAACACCACTGCCTCAGTTTTCTGAACAAACACTTTTTTTTTTTTTAAGCTTTGGTATTGGGGTTGAACCTATGGCCCCTTGAATGGTTACAAGACTCTATCATTAAGCTATACCTTTTACCCACTTTTTCCTTATTAAATTTTGGGAAAGGGTTTTACTAAGCTGCCCAGGCTGGCCTTGAACTCTTACGTTTACCTCAGTCTGCTAAATTGCTGGAATTCCAGATATGTCCCTCCAGGCCTGACTCAGAATTGTCATATCTTTAACTGGTCAAAAAACAAAAACTGTCTTTGTTTCTTTGTTGAAGATATTTCACTACAATAGGCTTCTCTTCCTTCGTAACCACGACTGGTCATCATCCTAATAATGACCACAGAGTTTTTATCCATAGGGTTTCTTGAATCTGTTAAATGCCTTTAAAATGCTTAGCATGCTCCACCCCTCAACACACTTAACTATTATGGTCTTACAGGCAATGTGCCTTTAAGAAGTCTTTTATCTCTTAGGTCTTAATGCCCTTGTTAGTAAAATATCCTAATTTGCTGCTAACTCACAGGGATGCTTTGGAGTTAAATGAGATAACACACATAAAATGTTTAATACTTGGTATATTTGCTGATTCAGAGCATATGCTCAAATATTCTGGTATATGCTCAAATATTCTAAATTGCAAATATAGTCAAAATCTGGCTTTCAGAATAAGGCATTACATGTCAAAATTCTTTTGAGTTCCTTCATTTAAAAAAACCAAGAACAATAAGTTTCTGTGATTACAGAGATTCTTGGGGTTGGAAGGAACTTTAATCATTCAGGTCAGCATATTGTTTTGTTTGTTAAACAAGTAGTAGTAACTTCTAAACTTACAGGCATGTACATAGGTGTCAGAGGACCAAATTAAAGGATCTATGTTAAGACACAGCCCTTCTCTTAGCAACAAGAGTCCATTTATCTTACTATACAGATTACTCATACTCCACATTCCTGTCATGGAGATAAGCTGATTAAAATTTTATTTTATAAATGCTGTTTAGGAGATGGGGAGACATCTTGCTCTTTGAGAGCACTAGCTGCTCTTCCAGAGAACCACAGTTCCAGTCCCACCACCCACTTGCTGGCTCACAATGCTCTGTGACTCCAGTTCCATGGGATCCAGTGCCCTCTGATGGCTTCTTTGGGCACCACACATGTGGTGCACAGATACACATGCAGGCGAAACACCTATGCACGTAACAGTAAAATAAATTTTAAAATTTAAGTTTGTTCTCTCAAATACTTAAGAATAAAAATGAATAGGTAATAATTTAAAACATTTAGGAACAAACTAGTTATTATAGTCCTCTTGAAAAATAGCAGAATGAGTATAATATCACTAATACCAAACAGTTACTATGTTAAAGAGTTATTCACTATAGTTTTTGTTTGTTTGTTCAGGACAGGGTCACATGTGGTCCAGACTGCCATTCAGTTCACTACATTTGGATTGTGTGACATGGGAGCCACTAGTCACATGAGTTACTGAGCACCTGAGATGTACCTAGTATAATGGAGACTTGAACTACCTATTTAATTTTAAATATCTACACACCAAGTGCTCTCTTACACAAAATCAGAGCTGTAATGAGACTTATGTTTTTTAAGTCATTAGTGTATATCAGAGTCTACAGAGGTCAGCCTCCTAGTCCCTTCCCTATCTCTACCCGCTACATAAAGATGCACACAGACAGCTGTGGCATGCAGGGCTCTGTGTTTATGTTTACTAAAGCTTCTGAGCAGGAACACTGTTACACCAGATAGTACCAGAATTGTTGGCTGAGTGCTTAAAAACAAACTTTAAAAAATAAGTCTACTGTTTTTCTAGCTATGTTGGTTAGGATACATTATTTTAAAAGTTACAGAGTATATACAATGATCCGCAGAGCTCAGCATGCACTGTTCTAAAAATACAGCATCTCAGCATACTACTTAAGATGGAGGAAGCCATGACAAAAGTGCAGAAGGAAGAAACCAATCTCTGACTGTACCTTATCTTTCTTCCCTGGAACAGGCCACAAAAGAATATCTAACTTGTCCCGGAAGCAAATGCTCTCCTATTCTTGGAGGAAAGGATCCAATGACATGGACACCAAGAAGCATCTCAACAAACAAGACTGAGTTCTGCTGTTCATTACCCCCTCTCTATACTGGTTAGACACAACTAGACAACTTGACACAAACTAGAGTCATCTGGGAAGAAGGACTCTCAAATGAAGATTGGCATGTGGGCATTTTCTTAATTAATGACTGATGTGGGAGGGCCCAGCCCCCTGTGGGCATTGCTATACCTGGGCTGGTGGTCCTGGGTTATGTAAGAAAGTAAGACCAAGCAAGCCAGGAAGCAGCATAATTTTACGATCTCTTTTTTCCGTTCTTGCCTCCAGGTTCCTGATTGAGTTCCTGCCCTGACTTTCCTCAATGATGGACTGTGATACAGAAGAGTCAGCTCTCCTCCTGAGAGCTGGTTTGGTCAGTATTTATCACAGTAATAGAAAACAAACTAGAACATCCTCTTAATTTTTTAATGGAGCTTGGAACTGAGCCTAAAGCACTGCATTCTAGACAAGAAGTGTAACACTGGGCTAGAACTCCAGCCCTTTCATTATCCTTCCTGCTCAATCAAACTTGTACTCTTCATCAAACCAAAACATAAAAATATACAAGTTTGCCTATTTGTTTCTTTGGTGGAAGGTTTGTCATCATTTCTGAAGGCTCCAACATTATGTGACACAGTAAATAAATTTGTACATTTTTGTCTTGTTAATATACCTTTTATTATAGGGGATTCAGCTATGAACCCTGAAATGAACTAAAAAAGAAATACATTTTTCCACCTATATGACCAAACATTTTCTCATGTATGTTACATAAATAAAATGTATCGGGGTTGGAAGATTTGGCAAAATACTTGCTTGGGAAGCATGAGGTCCTGTATTAGAGGCCCATGCAAAAAGTGGTGGTTGGGGGCAGGTGTTTGGTCATGTGTGCTTGTAATTCTAATGCTGAAGAGTGAGGAAGCAGATGCTCTGGAACTCACTGTAGCTAGTCTCGCCTACTTGGTGAATTCCAGGCCAATGAGAGACCTTTAGCAGGAGAGAAAGGATGGATAGTGCCTAAGGAAAAACAATCATGGTTGTCCTCTGGCCTCCGCATGCCCAATGTACACATGTACCTGCACACATATGTCCAATAAATAAAACGTGCTATTATTAAGCTTTCATCCTAAGCATATATCTCTAAGTTAAAAATATTCTCAGTTAACTGAATAGTATGGGCAAAACAGGCAACCAAAGGAATATGTAACCCTCTCTACTATTCCTAAGAAGAGGAGCAAAAACCTAAGGTAGGATGAACAAAGCCTACTGCTAAAAACAGCAGAGTTCACTGGTTTTCTTTCAGCCACTGAAGTTGATTCCAAAAACTTTATAAAAGTTCTTATTGTTGCTACCAAATCTTAACAGGAAAAAAAAAAAAAAAGTCTGCTTTGGAAGGAAAAAAGTCAAAAGTCAAATCCCCTGAAAAAATTTGAAAACTCATTCAACTTTTATCAGTCTGTAGAGGCCGCCACATCATTACAGCTGTGCTTTAAAATACTAATTTAGAGCCGGGCACAGCGGCACACGCCTGTGATCCCCACGCTCTATGAGACAGAGACAGCCAGATCTCTGTGAGTTCGAGGCCAGCGTGGTCTACAAATTGAGTTCAGAACACCCAAGGCTACACAGAGAAACCCTGTCTCAAAAAAATCAAAAACCAAGACCAAAAACAAAACTACTTTAGAATAACCACATCCTATTTTAATTACATAAAATAGGATAGTACTACAAAGATCTTTGTTCATTTTCTATTGAATGTATGTATTTTGACTGTCATATAGATACATTTAAAATACTTAAAAATGTTTGGCTAGACACATGAAGACATCTTTGAATGGAACTCTCAAGTTTCAGTTTGAGAAGTTCTGTTGTAACCTATATACAACAACCAGTATTACTCTCAAGAGAACAGTGGTTACCAGTCAGTATGACCCAAGTTCGCAACAGCACCTCCATCAGTCTGAGGATACCTTTAAACTTTTCAGATCACTTACATGATATAAACATGGCAATATAACAGTTCCTGTGAAAATTAACAGGGTTTCAGTTGGGTACCCTCATTTTAAATGTCAGCAAAATGTCCTATCACATAGTGAGAACAACAATATGCCTACCTTGCTCTTTGACATTGAAAGTGAAGAATCATCTTTATTTTGAGAAATATCTTCTTTTCCTCTTTCAAAACCTTTGGGGGAAAATATCAATATTCGATTATTACAACTTTGGAATATTAATGTTTAACATTAATGCTAAAGAACAAACATGAGCCATTCAATTGAGATATGCTTGGTGTTGATCCATGCTCATGAGGCTCAAATTACTATGCACTCACTTCATTTCTTTAAAATTAAGTCAGAGCCAAACTAGATTCTGTAAGGTTTTTGTTTTAAAGGAGTAGGGACTTGGAGAGGTGGCTCAAGTGTTGAGCACTTGCCATTCTTCCAAAGGGCCTAAGTTCAGTTCCCAGCACCTACATCAGGTAGCTCACAACTGCGTTAACTCTAGCTCCGAGGAACCTGTCACTGCCTTCTGGCCTCTGTACCTACATACACACAGCATCTATCAACAGTCACCTGTATACATTAATAAAGAAAATTTAAAAGAACAAAGTTGGGAAGGGGGTAGGTGGAGGAAGAAGGGGTGGATCTGGAAAGAGTTGGGGGAAGGAGTGGAGGGCAAGAGTGCTCAGATGACAGAACTATATGTGTGTATTGTGAAATTCTCAAAGAACAAAAGTGTTTGTTTTTTTAATTAACGCTGACAGAAGCAATCAAGAGTTCCTATGAGGCCAACAATGTCAACTGAAAATTATTTTCTGTGCTACTGAACACTCTACATGAAATCATCCTCTCAGAGCTTTTATCCTTGCACGCTCATTTCTTTTGAGACAGGCCCTGGTGTGACTAAGGCTGGCCTTAAACTCGCTATGGAGCCAAGAAAGACATTCTGACTCCCCTTACCTTGACTTTCCCAGTGCTGGGCTTACACAGGCTTGTACCACTTCACCCAGTTTATGCAGTGACAGGGAAAACAATCATAACCACCCATGTACATGCTGCAAATGTTCTCAACTAATCAAGATACACCCACAGAGCGCTAGTGAGCTGATTGCTGAACTAAGAGAACCATACTAACTTTTTTCCCTTATTGTCAACTGGAAAGATATTTTAGAAGGTGATAAAGAAGAGTGGGAAAATAAATCTTCAGTAAGAATAAATCAAAGAGAGGGGAGAAGGTACAGGAGAGGACATGGGGAATGGGAGGGGAAATGGGAGAAAGAAGGGAGAAGAAAAAGAAAGCAGAAAAGGATAAGAAGAAAAGGAGGGAAAAGATGCAAGAGAACTCATTCACTAACTGAATCAATCAATTAGTCTGGATGTGGGGCATATGCCTCCAGTACCAGCTATTTGGGAGGCCGAGGCAGGAAGAATTGTTGAATCTAGGAGCTTGAAACAAGGTTGGATAATATGGTAAGATGTCATCCTAAAAAGGGAAATAAAGCGGTGGACAGTTGGCTCAGTATTTAAGAGCACTTGTTGTTTTTGCACAGGACCCAGGTTCAATTCCCAGCACCAATAAGATGGTTTGCAACCATCTGTAACCCAGGCATGGAGGTGATACACATACACACATGAAGGCAAAACACTCACACACATAAAATCATAATAACTAAATCTTTTTTAAAAGTGAAATAAATATCTGATAATGTATTTATTATAAGAATTAGATGAGCAGGTATGTCAACAGTTGGCATAGAAAGTTGAATAAAGTATATACTGAGCTGAGGTATAATATATATATTATATATATATAGATTTATACTATTAATATAGATATAGTATATAATATATAATATATATTTATACTAATAATATATATATATATATATATATATATATATATATATATATATATATA